AGTGAAGGGAAAGCAAGTTTTCTCATTCTTCATTAAAACCTGTTTCAGATTGCGGAAGGAGTAAAGTTTTAATTCAAGATTTGTTTTTGTTGTGGTCTTTGTGAATCATCGTTAGACACTTAGGGGTATCATGCTTTAAGAGTAAGTAATATTCTAAAATATAGTCCCATAAAGATTCTGCAAGTTACATAATCATTTATGTCTAGGTTAACATTAGGGCTACCATAATTTAAATATAGTAAAAGATTCTGGTTAACAAGGTGGAAAGTGCCATCTACCATACAATTTCCAGGGAACATTGACATTTTTTCCCATTACATACCTTAATTATCCTCGAAAGGAGCTTATTTATGTAATTTTTCTTAAATCAATTACTTTCCATGATAACAAAATTCAATAAAAAGAAAGATGTACTCTGACCAGTAGCTAGGCAGGTAAACTGGTGTGTTTTCCTGAAGACTGACCTAACAATATAGTAAATTAGCTAATTTTTATGTTCTAGGATGAAAGGTTTTAAAACAAAATATCTCACCCCACCCTCCTTGTGATAATTAACAGTGGGTTCTGCTGAGAAATTAGCATTCTGTTAGCCCCAAAGGAGCTTACTTCAAAGCAAGAAAGAAGCCATGGGAATTATGCTCTACAGAGGTCTAGCATTAGTTTGCCTGTTATTTGTAAAACGTTAGTCTCTGCTGAAGATTGACATTCTGAAGCTAGATTAGCTTGATTCCATTCTATAGTTTGCAGGCATTTTGACAAGGCTTGAACTGTGTGAATTACCTTTTGCATCCAATAAAAAGGTTACATACTAAAATGTACAGTGGGATTGTTTACTAAACATCCAGCTTTCAGACAGTAATCAGGAATTGGCAACATTCAAATTGTTTGTAAAATTGTATTTTCTGAAATAAGAATATAAATTTTAGCTTTAAGTGCTCAAACTATATTGAGAACAAATCTTTGGTAGTAAAGAGTCACACTATTAGGACAAAAAGAATTTCTTAGCAAAAAGTATCCAAAAGCTCAATATTACAGGGGTTTTTTAATTTATAAAACCCAATCTTGTTCAAATTATAGTTGATTCATACATACATCCCTTCATGCTGCACTCCTTCACAACCATTGCAGATTCTGCTCCTTTGTATTATAGTACAAAACCATATTTCTTTGATTCTAAGACACTATTGTAAGGTGCACACTAATTTCAGTACCACCACCAAAAAACCCCAACATATATCTCACATATATATATATATATATATATATAGAGAGAGAGAGAGAGAGAGAGAGTTTTATACTTATTTACTTTGTTATGCTGTACTTGGAGTGCCTTGTAAGTCGCCCCGTGTCTCTTTCGGGAAATAGAGGCAGGATATAAATAAAGTTTATTTTATTATTATATATATCCCACAATTTTTAGATGCATCCCATTTTTAGAGATGTTTATTTGGAGGGAATTGTGTCTTAGAATGGAAAAGATACAGTAAGATAAAGTGTGTATGTTGAAATTGAGTGATTGGTGTGCAGGGCTTAGTAAACAATTCCATGTGGATGTTGTGTGAGAGAAGAAGTTTGTTGAAATGATGTGAAATTTAGTAAACATGAAGAAATCATAGAGATCAGGTTCAAGACCACAATTAGGAATGAATTACTTCTGTGTAGAGCGGTTGGTATTTGTGAGATGAAAGACACTGTGAAGGAAGGTTGTAATTGTGTAGTTGAGAATTTGGTGTTGGTTGTAGTAATAGATGACAATTGTAATAATATGTGTTAGTGGACTGTAGGGTGACAAGAAGTTAATATAAAGCATCACTTCTATTCAGTAAAATTGTATTTTATAGATCATAATCATTCTTACTACCTGGTTTCTACTACCAGAATTATAGTGAAACAACTTAGAAGCCTAAAGGAATAAAATCATGTAACTCTCTCAAAGTTCCAGTTGGATATTTTTTGGGGAAACAACTATGCGATCTCAGTAGTAACATCTGAGCAGGCACTAGTTCTCCCTCACATTTTTAAATGGTTATATTTTAGGGCATAACCTGAAACTACAATAGTTAACTTAGTATTTTAGTAGCTCAATATCAACTAGCTGTGCATGTTAGTCCCAAGATTAATCCCCTCAAGAGATGAAATAGAACTTTGAAGCTATCCAATTTGAGTAATATTTGCTAATCACGCTACTGATTAATTTTATGAATGTTTTTAGAAATAGAAAGATTTTCACAGATAGCATTAAAAGGAGGGGAAAGCCGTCGAAACCAGGACACATATTGGGAGTTTGTTTTTATTGGAGTTTCAAGCCATTTGCAATTTATATCTGCCCCATCATGGGATTTTCTTAGCAACATTTGTTCAAAGGGGTTTTTCCTTTGACTTCCTTTCAGGCTGAGAAAGTGTGTCGTGCCCAAGATCATCTGGTGGGTTTCCATGGCTGGGGCAGGATTTGAAGCTTGGTCTCTACTGTCATAATGCAATGCTCAAACACTACACTGACTTTATTGGATGTCTAGGAATACAAATAGCTCCAAGAGCATATTTTGACTATCTGAGCAGGTTCCTTGTATATTGATGTGCCACAGTTGAATGGAAAAGACTGATTCATTTATTGTCCTGTGAAAAGTAAAAAGCATGTTTATGCAAGTACTATGCATTTGCATTTGTAGGCAATATTTGGTTTTGAATACCTTTATTCAGTTTTAAAAAGGGGATTTTACTTAATCTAATAACTACAGTTTGATAACTAATAATGGCAGTCAACTACAGCAATTTTGATGTAGTAATGAGTATACTTTTCAAAACATCTGGAATACCTGTAATGTGATACAAAAATATCTGTGATTCTATTGGTGACAGAATCATGCGCAGTGTTACTACAGTTGTGGTTTGTTGTCTACATTAATAAATTAAGAAAGTATTAAATTTCCTTTAGAATGGTTTTGAAAAATAAAGGTGTAGTTTGCTTCTATCAAAATGCATGAATCCCAAGTTAAGAACCCCTGCCCCTTCTAAATACTGTGATACCTTGACTTAAGAATTTAATTAATTCCATGACCATGTTCTTAAGTTAAAACATTGTTTTCTCAAAGAGAATGTTCCCATTGAAATACTGTTCTGCCCCCCAAAAAAACCACCCCAATTTTTTTTGTTATGTGTTTTTAAATAACAAAATGTACTGTATAAATAACAAATAATGGATAAAATGTTCAGAGAGAGGTAGTGCTTGGTTCTTCCAGCCACTGTGGCAAGGAAGCACATTTGAAGCAACAAAATGTGTGTTGGCCAGTGAAACAGCAAGGCAAAACAGCATTGTTTTCTTCATACTGTACAGTAAATATAGTACTAATTCCAGTCTCCCTCCCGCTCTTGTTCTCTCTCTCTCCCCTTCTTCCCAAACCAAAATATACAATACCAAGAATAAAAAGCACTCAAAGTGAACTAACCTGAACTTCCTCAGTTGACAGCAATCTCCCAAAGCTGAGAAGAGCACATGGCATGTAGGCAAAGGCATGCAGGCTGAGGCATTGTTGGGAGCCCTGTACTCACTGTTTAGGCTGAGGTTCTGCTGTACAAGGGTGGACTGCAATCTCTGGAGTGGAATCACCGGATTGGACTCTTCCCAGAGCATTCAGGGGAAGCAATCACATGGCACTGGAGTTTCTGCATTGCGGGAAGGGCCTGAGCTGCTCTGGCTAGGAATCCAATCCAGATTTTGTTTCTCTCTGCCTTCCTGTTAGAACTTGTTTAGGGGGCAAATAAGCCTCTTCTGAGCAGTTGGTAGGTTAAAGCTCCCTAATTAAAACATTTTTTTCAAGAGAAGGATCATTTATTGATTTTTAATTTATGTCCCAGTTCTGTTCTGAATTCCCCAAAAGCAATTTGTAACATTAATAATTCAGTTAAACCTTACAATTTGAGAAATAAAACAATGGAAGAAAATTGTAGATGAGGTGAGATAAGACGTGTTGTTAAAAACAGAATTGTCTTTTTTTAAAGTAGAATGTAGAAACAAAACAGATCACCCAGAGAAAACAATACCCTATCCCAACACACACACACACACACACACACACACTGGGTCTTGTTTGAGCTGTCTAGGGGCAATTATATGATTCACAGGCTAATCACAGGACACTTAGTCCTATATTAACACTGTGGCAGATGTGATACTAGAGCTGATACTAGAGAAAATCTTTTTAGTGGAAACTATTCAATTGAAATAAAGAGTAACGAAAAATGAACACCACTATAGTATTTAGCACACTTGCCTATCTCAACTCAACTGGTAGTGAAAATGGAAGGTATCCCTTGAAGAGAGTTAAATTCTGTTGGGAAATAGATATCTTCAAAGGTGGAAGTTGAGGTTTAATGATATTATTTTTTTTAGAAAATGCAAGAAAAAATGTATGTGTAGTTATGTTAATAGTTACTTAGAGTTCAAAAATAGTACTTTAGGCAGTTCACAATTGGAGTAAAATCTTAACATAAATGCCATGAGTTAGTCACTTAACTTTTATGTAACCAAGCGCTTATCTTTTCAGCAGTACGCCATCTCTAGAGCGGTAGTGAGCAACATACAATCTCTTCCCAATAACATCTCTTCCAGTGATGTTATTGGGATCCCAGGGATCATAAAACAGTCTGAACATTTTCTCTAGGGTAGCGGTTCTCAACCTATAGGTCCAGGTGTTTTGGCCTACAACTCCCAGAAATCCCAGTCAGTTTACCAGCTGTTAATTTCTGGGAGTCAAAGGCCAAAACATCTGGGGACTCGTAGGTTGAAAACCGATGTTCTAACTAAGCCATCCGGAGGGTATTTCCATGTCTGAAGTTCCCCATGGATTTTCCCCAGTCAAAATGAAAATTTATTTTTAAATGTCTCAGACTGTTACGGAATAGCTACTTAGGGGGCCAAGGAAGCCCAAAAACATGCCCTCATGTCCCATAGAGGGTGTTTGGGAATTCAAAAAGTGTTTATTTTTATTATTTATTTGCAGGAGCAGGCTTCCTTAAGGGTTGTTCAACCCCTTGCTATTCCAAGATTGGTCATCCCTGCTATAGAGATTTGGTTTTCAGAGGTGAGCAAGTAATCAATTTCTTAGCTTTGATGGGAAGAGTCTGTATATTATTATCTTACTATAATCAAATACAGGCAGTCCCCAAGTTATGAAGAAGATAGGTTCTGTAGGTTTGTTGGAACAGGTACCGTTTTTTAAGTGCAACTCTAGCCAAAAATATTTTTTTAGCTTTGGGATGCCATAGGGAAGGGTTAACACCCCTGTGATTGGTGAGGATAGGTGATTAAGCTTCAGTGCAGATATTTTTCCTCATGATAACTGTTCCAGGAGTGAATTTCCCTTCAGAGGGGTAGATTTCTCTCACTTCCTGTTGTCTCACCCCCGTTCTTAACTATGAGTTGTTTGTAAGTCGATTGTAACTAAGGGACTGCCTGTATAGCATGTTTCTATACTCAATACTAGCGCAGATACTGTTTTTAGTCCTTCTCTCACAACTAATGTTAAATGAAAAACAGAAATGTGTACATATTTGATGACTTAATTATTGGGTCAAGCTTATGAGGAACAATGTCTTAATGTTTTCTGTTTATTCTTTTTTATTTCTAGATTAAGCTGCATGTGACAAATCAAACCTCTTTAACATTTCCTGATTTAAATCAGATACTCATTTGTAGTCTTAGGGTACAAGTTTACATATATTTACCAGGGAGCAATGCCACTGAAACCAATGGTAGTTACTTCTAACTTTGCTAAAGCATAGAGGAAAGGAAAAGGGGGCAAACAATGTCATATAAATGCTCCCGTAAATAGGTAATAAATACAATAGAACTATGCTGCTTGGTTATTTGTGTATATGCAAAAAATGACCAGTGCCTAACAACACTGAGTAAGGTAATATTGAATGAATCATAGGGAACAAAGAGAAGCTAATTGCAGGGCAGTAATAGAATTCCAGAGCAGTTGTCCAACAGTGTACAGGCATCAGTGAAGTCTTCAAGTAGTAGAGACATTTAGACTAAAATAGCTGTTAGGAGTTCTTGCATAAGGCAGCAATGTTGAGGTGTACTTTTTCCTTAGTTACCCATGGAGTTTTGTAGCATATTTTAAAGAACTGTCTTATTTATAGGATAAATACATCAGATGTTTTATGTTACTTTTATTTGAAACTTTATTCTTCATTCCGTGTTCTTCTAACTGTTTTAAAATAATATTTCAGTGCAAACGTCACCATGGCCACAGAAATTGGATCACCACCACGGTTCTTTCACATGCCAAGGTTTCAGCACCAAGCTCCTCGGCAACTATTCTATAAGAGACCTGATTTTGCTCAGCAGCAAGCAATGCAACAGCTCACTTTTGATGGGAAACGTATGAGAAAAGCTGTAAACCGGAAAACTATAGATTATAATCCCTCTGTAATCAAATATTTGGAGGTGCGTTCCAGATGTGTTCTTTATTTGTTTATAATTTGTTACATATATGTTTTAGAGTCAAAATGTTACATAAATGTTTTAGAGGTAGTTTGAAATGCTATTATAGAGAATAGCTATGGAGAAAGTAGAGGAAATGGAACGTAGAGGTCACAGAAATGTATGCTTTTATCAGATGAAAGTTTGTAGGACATTCATAACTTGTTGTAGAGATAAATCAATCTACTGGAAGCAAATACAAAACCTGAACTGTCCTTAGAATCCAAGGTGATTAAACTAAGATTTGTATACCTTGACCATATCATGGGAAGACTGAGTTGCTAGAAAAGACATTAATGCTTGGTATGGTAGATGGCAGTAGGAAAATAGGAAGCCCAAATTCTAGCTTAATAGACTCAGCCAAGGAAACCATAGAATCATAGAGTTGAAAGAGACCTCGTGGGCCCTCCAGTCCAACCCCCTGCCAAGAAGCAGGAAAATCACATTCAAAGCACCCCCAACAGATGGCCATCCAGCCTCTGTTTAACAGCTTCCAAAGAAGGAGTTTCCACCACACTCCAGGCAGAGAGTTCCACTGCTGAACGGCTCTCACAGTCAAGAAGTTCTTCCTAATGTTCACATGGAATCTCCTTTCTTGTAGTTTGAAGCCATTGTTCTGCGTCCTAGTCTCCAGGGCAGCAGAAAACAAGCTTGCTCTTCCTCCCTATGACTTCCTCTCACATATTTATACATGGCTATCATGTCTCCTCTCAGCCTTCTCTTCTTCAGGCTAAACATACCCAGCTCTTTAAGCCGCTCCTCATAGGGCTTGTTCTCCAGGCCCTTGATCATTTTAGTCGCCCTCTGGACACATTTCAGCTTGTCAACATCTCCCTTCAATTGTGGTGCCCAGAATTGGACACAATATTCCAGATGTGGTCTAACCAAGGCAGAATAGAGGGATAGCATGGCTTCCCTGGATCTAGACACTATACTATTGATGCAGGCCAAAATCCCATTGGCTTTTTTTGCCGCCGCATCACATTGTTGGCTCATGTTTAACTTGCTGTCCATGAAGACCCCAAGACCTTTTTCACACGTACTGCTCTTGAGCCACGTGTGCCATGGCCCTGAGTCTTCAAGACCTGAGCAGGGCGATTGAGGATAGGGTGACTTGGAGGTCTCTCATTCATGTGGTTGTCATAAGTCAAAATTACACAATGACAGATAGCAACAGCATTCTACTTGGGGGTTTCTGGGACTGCAATTCTCCTGTAGAGATGTAAAATTTCTGAAAATTTTGAAAATATAGGATTCTCATGTCCCCCCTTTTTTTGGAAAAACTTTTGATTTTATTTAAAAATGAAAATGTATTATTAACTCCTCCCCTTTTATAGATTTTGTTAGACATTTTGTTACTTTAGGAATATAAAAGATCTTATATCCCTGGTGCACAACATAGACTTGTATGCTCTTTAAGGCAGGCTAGACCCGCTACCTCTTTTTCTTCCTTTGGAAAGAAATTATGTTTTTATTTAGCTAGTTCAGTAGCATCTGACTCCTGGCGAAGGGGTTTATAAGACTGGCATTGTACATTTTTACTAGCATGTTTTAAGTTACTTCTTAGTGTAGTGACCCAGGACTGCTTATGGACAACGGCTATGTTTTTGTGTGATGTTATTTTATGTGATATGTTTAATAATATTTAATATTTTATTATGGGAGGGTCAATTTATACTGTTTTTATCGATGGCATTGAATTGTTGCCAATACTGTGAACCAACCTGAGTCCCCTTCAGGGTTGAGAAGAGCAATATATAAATACTATAATTAATTAATTAATTAATTAATTTAGTAGTGTTTTAATACATAATTGTTTTCATATATTTATTAAATATATGTTTTATTTGTTTTTATCAAATTTGTTAGCTTTGAACCTATGAATTGAGTGAATTCTCCCTCTTATCATTAGTAGTGCTTAGGTCTTGCAGATTCACCTTGTGGCTTTCACCTGTACTTTAGTCTTCCTGTTTTCTGCTGCCCTATACTTTACCAAGCACTTACATTATTATTATTTTTTCAGTTACATTGTATCTACCATCAGGTTTTTTTTTTACAATGAAGTGGAAAATTGCATTCTGATTTCTCTATTTTACAAATAGCACTAGCTAGGAGCAAAGCCAATACCATTGCTCTAAATTATATGATACTGTGTAACCAGTAATGCTAATCAAAATATGTTTTTCCCCTTTTTCCAGAATAGAGTATGGCAAAGAGACCAACAGGATATGCGGGCAATTCAGCCTGATGCAGGGTATTATAATGATGTAAGTATACATTTCCCTTTGTCTTCTGAAGCTCTAACAATGAGGGATGATATAAATTATACATAGTCCCTTTAGCCATGATAGATATGAATAATTCAGTAATTGCCCTTAATCCCACTTCATAAATTATCTTGTTTTTTCTTATTTAAATTGTAAGCAAGGCATGGGCAAACTTCCGCCATTCAGGAGTTTTAGGCTTCAACTCCCACAATTCCTGAAAGCTGGCTGGGATTTCTGGGAGTTGAAGTCAAAACACCTGGAGGGCCAAAGTTTGTCCAAGCCTATTGTGAACCAAAGAGCAGGCATTGTCATACTACCTATCTTGTCAGCTCTATTGGAGCCCTTTTGAAAAAAAAAGTCAGGGCATGATTGCTTAATGAAATTTTGTTCTAAAAAGCAATAGATTGACAAATACATTTGAAAAAAGTTGATGGTATCTTGCACTGTGTGGGATTGGCTTAATGCCCAGGATTGCATTCAAAGATCCTACTATATCAGCAGAAGGCACTTTTGTTTGTGTGTGTGTGTTGTTAGGAACTCATTCTCCCTATGCCCTTTTGGAAAGCTGCTCTGGTACGTTCTGACAATTTTCCAAAGCCAATTTTGGAGACCAGTAGAAATGAGAGAAATATTGGAAATCCACCAGTCTCTGCTATGGAAACACAAGTGTCTTCTCTTTTCACCATGGAATCTCTGGATCTGCGTCCTGTGTAGAATCACGGTGCTGTACTCAAAACATATAGTACAAAGCTTCCCAGACTTACTGCAATTAATGAAAACTCTGGATAGTACCAAACCCTATTGAATGAATGAATTCTATTGGAGGTCTACTATTAAGTCATGCTAAGAAGTCTAGGAAATGCCTAGAAAGGACATGTTTTCTCTGATGCGAGTGAATGAAACCACAGACACGTGTGCCACGGATACAGGGGTCATGCTGTATAGTATCTCAACAAAAGCTTAAGTTTGCTAGGTTTAACACTTTGAGAGCAAAAATTTACAAATTGTTTTTAAAATACATCTTTTTCTCTTTCCTAGCTGGTCCCACCTATTGGAATGTTAAACAATCCTATGAATGCTGTGACAACAAAATTTGTTAGGACATCTACCAACAAAGTAAAATGTCCGGTCTTTGTAGTTAGGGTAAGTATGGATCTGGATCCAATGCTGTCATTATGCTTGATGGAATTTTATTAGTTATTTATTTTATTTACGATTTTTTACCCCGCTTTTCTCAAACCCGAAGATAACTCGAGGTGACTTACAGCCAGGTAGCCATTTGATGCCTTAACAATATACAATTAAAACCACATTTAAAACAGAATTATAAAATACATGGATGGAAATGTTTTTGTCAGTGGAACCAGAAACACAGTGTTTCCCCTTTCCCCTAAAGCTCTCTGTACATCGTGAAAATCTGCTAGGGAGGTTGAAAAATCTTCTGGAGCAGATTCTTTGATGCACAGAAGGTTAAAACAGGAAAGAAGGACAGAAATGGTGGAAGCATGCTAGAATATAAAATGTAATGTATGTTATTACATCCCATGATACTATGTCAAATTGCTTACATTTTCCAAAAAAGGAGCCTGATATTTTGCTACCAGTGTTGCACAAAAGTGGACAACAAAGTAGTAAGGAGAGGGCGTACAAATACTCTGATTTTATTTCAAGTTGTTTAGAGAAAAGAAACAACCTGGCATTCAACATACTGTCTATTCTTACAAAAAATTGTTCAGTAGTGGGTAATAATAATAACAACATAATAATAAAACTTTATTTATATTCCGCCCTCTCTCCCCAAGGGGACTCAGGGCAGATTCCAACAAAAAATAGCAAAAGCGTAATGCCAAATACATCCATAAATAAAGAATACAAAAACAAACTAATGAAATATTTTTTAAAAACTGAGACAAAATTGTACAAAATTAAATAACATAACCTATCAATTGCTTTACATCCTGTATAAAAGCATAAATAAAGCATAAATTATATAAAACACACATAACAATTATTAAAATAGTTATTAAAATGTTAAACGGCCAATAAAGCCAGCAAGCCAACCATACCAAGTGAGCCAAGACCAACTAAGATTAGAATATAATAGCAGTATCCAGGAGATGGTGTGTATGTAAACCTCTAAATGTCAGAGTGACTTTTTACATTCTAATATTATAATTTGTGTTTGCTCTTATAGTGGACACCTGAAGGGAGGCGCTTGGTTACTGGGGCTTCTAGTGGAGAATTTACCCTATGGAATGGGCTTACTTTCAACTTTGAAACAATACTACAGGTAAGTCCATCTAGAAATCATTTGAATCATAACTTTCTTAGTAGTATCTTTTAGTATCCGAAGTTAAAACCATTTCAGAATTTGTATTTTGTTTTTGGCTGGTTTGGACAATTTATTAGAATTAGTGAATTTCTTCCTGTAGTAAGGATTTTTTTCTTCCTGTAATAAGAAAGTTTCATTAAAGAAAAGTTGATGATAATGAAAAAAATCTTGTAAATATTGCCTCCGGATATGCAGATTTCGTATCTGCAAATTTAACCAATTGCAGATCCAAAATAAAAATGTTAAGGGATGTGACAATCAGTGTCAGTGGGCATTCTTGCTTGTTTTTTTGCAAATGAGTGCACTGTTGCCATTGACACGTTCTGATGAAGTTGATTGCTATCCTGTGATTGGTGGTGGTATGAAGCAGCTTCGTCAAGGTCATGAAAATTGGTGGCAGTGAGCATTCCTTGTTCACTCAGAAATGTGCCACAGCTCACCATATCATGTGGAAACTGCATGGCTCCCTGTAATTGGCAGTGAAGCTCCTACTTGTGAATGAACCAACAATACAAAGCCTTAACTCTCTTTCCCATTGTACCTCAAGACTAATGGATATGGAGAGGAGGAGGGGAGCAGAAGGAGTGGGGCAAGAAGGTGCATCAGGGCTTCCAAATGTGGCTGGGGCATCTTGGTGGAAGGTGAGAAAAAGAGTTAAGGCTTGGTACTGCTGTCAGAGCATACAGAGAGGAGTAGGGGAACAGTGGGCAAGTGGACTGCAATATCATAGAAACCACAAACCCACTGTACTCTGCTTAATAATATTTATTTTAGTGAGATTGAAGCTGTGATGATAGTCTCCATCAAAATAATGTGTACTTTTGCATATACTACGTAAGCTCACAATAGCCTATTTTTTTAAATGAATAATTGGTTTGTTATTTTTCAAATGTGAGTGATGCTGTCATCTTTCAGTCATGTGAACAAATTCCCTAGAAGTCTTTCCTTTTCCATTTTTCAGGCTCATGATAGTCCAGTAAGAGCTATGACATGGTCACACAATGACATGTGGATGTTGACCGCAGACCATGGGGGATATGTAAAGTACTGGCAGTCCAACATGAACAACGTCAAGATGTTCCAGGCACATAAGGAGGCGATTAGAGAGGCCAGGTTTATACACAATATACCATTTTCTGTAGTTACTATTTTCATGATTAGACTGTTCCCTAAGTGTATTCTACATGCCAACATGCATGGGTATAACCTGAATCTGGGCAATGTCCTGCACCAGATAAACATGTTTTCCTTTGTTTCCATGATTTCACAGATTTACGCATATTTCTCTGAAATGGTATTGTCCCAGTATCTGCCTCTGCAATATGTTAGAGATGTATTTGTCTGCCGCATTTTGCACTGGTATTGGTTTCTCTTTTATATGGTAACAATGTGTATCAGTTATTCGTTTATTAATGCTTTTTGTGTAAGATGACAATTTCATTCTAAATAAAGAATTCAGTTTTAATAATATAATGGAATAAAATATCCAGAAATAAAGCAGCTGCATAGTTCTCACAACATTAAAAAGCTAAATAAAGTGAAGAACTGCTTGGCTTGGTGAGGCCAAAATGTCTAGTAGCATGAGGACCCACATCGATTTTCACATCCAGGCGCCATGTTTGATATTGAATGGGTTCTTCAAGTTTGGAATCAAAAGCTGATAAGGCAACTTCAGGACATCTTTCTGTTTCAGTGGCAATGCTGCAGTTATACATATGTATACTTAGTATAAAAAGTGAAGTGATTTTTCTTTCCTGAGATGACACATGAAGAACTATTAGAGTCTAAGTAAAGATATCAATAAAGGAAAAAAACATATTATTAAAATGTGCCTGAAGAGGAGCAGAAGCAAACTAAACCTGCAGCAGTGCTCCCTCATGCATGCTGTTCTCCACTGAAGAAGAAGATTCACTCCAACAGAAGCACTTTCCCTTTGATTTGCCATTTTCCCTCTTGATTCAGGATTTCCTGGCAGTTTAACAAGAAATGATTTTTATATAGGCATGCATTAATGCAGCTGTGAGCTGATTTATCCTACCAAGTTCTTGCAACATACAAAGTTCCAGGATTTCAAGGGCACTTCTGTTTAGCAGCTGAACAGATACATCTTTGTTCTTCACTGCACATCCATAGCTGTTGAAGATCCAACCAGAGCATAATATACCAAATGCTGTCCTTACTATTTCTTAGTAAGCTTCCTTAAGCTCTTACCGTGAGTGTAGTAGAAAAAGTCTTCTCTCAACGACTCTTTTTGAGAAATATATTTGGTTTAGGTTTTTTGAGTAACCAAGTATGTCTAGCTGTCCTCTTTACATTGTGTGATGATTTGCGATTTTTTTAAAAAAACTCATCAAATTTTGGGGTCTTAATTGATCCCTCTTATCATAAGAAGTCTTGTGGAAGACATGTCATATACAGATATAAACAATTCTAAATGCCCCAGGATGGTTTTTACCCCTCTCGTGCATCTTTCAAAGGTTAAAAGGCTTGCTTTTGTCAGTTTCACATTATGTATGGATATTGCAGACAAATTAAAAATCCGTGAATGGAAGAGGGTAAAATGCGTGTTCTTCGTGTTCCCAATCAGTTGGGAAACAAAATGCAAAAATATTATGCGCCATGGAATACATAACAGAACTCTGTTATGCAAGTGGATCCAGTAATGCCAACAGGATGAAGTAAATTTACAGGCACTAAACCTTCAGAGGCCTTCATCAGTATTTATTAACACTTGAGCTATATTTTTCCCTGCTCAGAAGTTTAGATGATCTGTTAAATGCTGACTTCTTTCCCCTGCTGTGTGTCTTCATGTAACAGTTTCTCACCCACGGATAATAAATTTGCTACATGCTCTGATGACGGCACTGTTAGAATCTGGGACTTTCTACGTTGTCATGAGGAAAGAATTCTTCGAGGTACGTTAATAAAAAAGTACTAATTGGGATATGTCAAAAGGGAAAAACTTGTAACTGCCCACAATAGAACTTTGCAAACTCCTCTGCGCTTTGGCTTCGCTTCCTTAAATCTTTCAAGCAGTGATATCACAAGGATTTGAGAACTCTAGCAGCTGTTACTGTTTCAATTGCTTTTAATATTTGAATTATGTATATTGTGATTATTCCCAATTTTTAGCATTGTTAAAGCATCCATCTGAGAAGGGAATCTTCTTATTTCACCTGACAGTGATAATATTTTATATAAAAACACTGGTTCAAGGAAAAGAGCCTATTTCTCCTGAAACAATAATTTGTTGACACATTCCATTTTTGTTTGCTTACATTTTGAATTTTACCATGTAATAGAAAGTACAGCTTTTCAGCAAGTGGATATCACATAAACCAAACATCATTGGAATCACTTTGTACAACCACCACACAGTTTTAGATATAAGCTGCCATTTTCTATTAATAACACCAACAGAAATAAAATACACTGTTAGATACTGTGTTTAGAATTAACAAGAATGTAAAATATATCCTGGGTGAAAAAGGTGTAACAACACTATTTTAATTTTCCTTATGTAATGTGGTATATTAGCATTTATTCGTCTTGAGAAATATATCTTAAGCAGTTTTCCTAGTTTAGTTTAGTAGCCTGGATTGATATTGTTAGTACAGATGAATAGGCATCAGCAAACATTTGGAGATAATTGCACTTCAGTGTTTAAACCTCCATATTTTGTTTTGAATCTTGACAAAACATAACCTAATGATTTAGTTGTGAAGAAATTGTGCTGAACTTGAAACTATTCTCAAGCTTCTCAATTGTGCTCCTTGTAGCACTTCAGGAAATATTTCCTGAAAATTAAGTCTACACTTCTCACTAGTGTCTGCTTCTTAATTGTGAACTCATTTCCTTTAACACACACCCACTCAAACTTTGGAGATTGAGTTTGTTTTTTTTCCTTTTTCATAAGCCATGGATATACTCCTTCTGAAACAATGAGCTCATCTTTGTCAAACGTATTACCTTACAGTCTTTTAATGCTTAACAACTGCTACGATATACATTCAAGCTTATGCCAGTATGCTTCGTTACCTGTGTGATTCCATTATAAGCTAGACTTTCATATTTATGGCTATCATCCTGATCCTATGTTGGTAGTTCAGATTCCTCATCTATTTGCAGACAGCCGTGCCATAAGGAGTACATTTCCTATAGGTCTGAAATCTCACAATACATTGGGATGTGGAATAGGACAGTGGCTGCATAAGAGAAAGGAGACCGGAAAACCATATTACATTATCAAAACACAAGAGAAATTCAGATCCAGGTTATAGCCCAATTTTTGCTGCTTTTTAGAAACTGAAAGTAACTTGATATAAAATGAAAAGTATATATATTTGTGTGTATATATATTTACATACTAATATATATAATTTTTATTTATACCCTGCTTTATCTCTCAAAGCAGCTTACATTAAAAATATGATCACATAATGTAAAATATACAAATATTCAAACATTAAAATAGAATTAAACATAACAGTATTAAAATTCACAGTTAAAATCCATTAAAACATAATCAAGACTAAAAACCACATCACCCCTGACTTGATCTTCCTTGATCTCCTTCCTTAAAAGCCTGTTTAAATAAGAAAGTTTTAGCCTGCCACTTCTTGTTTAAATAAGAAAATTCCATCAATAAATGAAATATAGCATGTGCCTTGATGTAATAATATGGAACTCAATTTGTAATAGGATTGGCTTCCATGTACATATGATTAGAGGTTGCAGTCTTTAAAAATGTGTTGTTAAGGAGTGATATGAATGATAATAATTTCTGATTGAGAAGAAAAATCATTTATTCCCATCCTTTCCATTAGTGGTGAAATTCTTCATACTCTAAATAGATGAAGCATATACACTTTGATTAGGATCACTGATAAGGAAAGTTTCACTGTGTAGTTGAAGCACCTTCCATCATCTCACCCCACTAAAAGATGACATAGTTCTATTTACAAAGGTGTTAAAAATGAATTCTTCCTACTTGTCAGCATTTAATGGCCCAGAACACTGGGATATTCTCCTATCCGGTAAAGACGTAGGAAGAGATAAGGAATTCTTCTTTTTGTGAACTGTAGCATTCACTCAGAGATAACTCTTACTCAGTTCATTGGAATTTATTCCCCTTTATGTGTGCTGATATTTGTAGCTTTAGTGTGGGAGACGACTCAAGAGCCAAACATCTTACAAACTGCTCAACTCTTCTTTTCCATAGATTATATGACAGACTAATGGTGTTTCTGTGACAAGCCAATTCTACATTTTTGCTGATTCGTAAACACTAAGATTCACTTTGTTGGCTGGAATATTATATACAATATGATTCCTTAATGTTCTGAGTCTTATTTGTTAAAATATAGATACTACTATGGGTTCCTTCATAAAAAATTCTTTCAGGCTAAAAAATAACATGTCAGACTTTTTAGATGCCATGAGCTGTCAGCAGTACTCATTCAAATACGTACAAACTGTATAATTTCATCTAATATGCTAATTAATTGTCCAGTGATAAGTAATAAAGCTATTAGAATAAATAGAAATAGAGAAGGGAAAGCATAGAGATGTTGATTGAGCTTCAGTTTAAGGTACCAATGACTTAGTTTGCCTTTTGGAAATTTTCTTTTTTCAGATTATCATATTGAAATTTATTTACATTTTAATTAATTTTTTCTACGTTTCTTTGTTTGCTCTCTTGCCTAGTTTTATTATTCAAGTTCTTTCTCAAATCAAGGGGAAATTGCATGTTTTAGTCTATTTGCTACTAAATCATTTTAAATACCAGCCTTCGAGAACATTAAAAAACAGAAACAAGAAACAGCATTTAACTAGATCATACGCAAACAAATTGAGCTTCTTGTAAAAGTAACCGACTCTTTGTAGCATGCCCCTAGAGCAGTGCTTCTCAAACTGTGGGTCCTCAGATGCTTTGGCCTTCAACTCCCAGAAATCCTAACTAACAGCTGGTAAACTGGCTGGGATTTCTGGGAGTTGTAGGCCAAAACAACTGAGGACCACAGGTTGAGAACCACTGTCCTAGATAGAGTCTATAAACATGTTGATTACTTGTACACTCACAAAAACTGACAGCTGCATCATTTGCTAGTGAAACCTACTTTTGCTGCTTTCCTGACCTTCACATTTCATTAGAGTGGTTATGTAAAAGCATCCCTGTAGATATACTGCAGTGGTTTTAAGACTATCTTGGAATCTCTGCACATCCTCAGAAACATAATCGCTAATAGCGAACAAGCTTCTTCAAAACCCATGCCTATTTGCTATTTATTTTCCTTTTGCAAGGAAGTGTTGGAACTGTTCCTACTAACAGTGATGTTTCCAGATACACCAGAACATTTCCCAAAAGACTAATTTGTAGTGGATTTTTGGATGATATCTGTGTGGGAGAGCTTACCTGAAGCTGGAACACTTGAGAAGAGCAATCTGAAGAGATACTGTGTTACTCTAATGCAGTGTTTCTCAACCGTGGGGGGGGGGTCGCAAGGGGGGTTTCAGAGGGGTCTCCAAAGAGATTCTTTAATTGTATGTGAACTATAAATCCCAGCAACTACAACTCCCAAATGTTAAGGTCTATTTTCCCAACTCCACCAGTGTTCACATTTGGGCATATTGAGTATTCATGCCAAGTTTGGTCCAGATCCATTATTGTTTGAGTTCACAGTGCTCTCTTGATGTAGGTGAACTAGAATTCCAAAACTCAAGGTCAACACCCACCAACCCTTCCAGTATTTTCTGTTGGTCATGGGAGTTCTGTGTGCCAAGTTTGGTTCAGTTCCATTATTGGTGGACTTCAGAATGCTTTTTAATTGTAAGTTAATTATAAATCCCAGCAACTACAATTCCCAAATGACAAAATCAATCCTCCCCAACTCCACCAGTATTCAAATTTGGGCGTATCAGGTATTTGTGCCAAATTTGGTCCAGTGAATGAAAATACAACCTGTATATCAGGTATTTACATTATGATTCATAATAGTAGCAAAATTACAGTTATGAAGTAGCAATGAAAATAATTTATGGTTGGGTGTCACCACAACATGAGGAACTGAGCGGTCACAACGTTAGGAAGGTTGAGAACCACTGCTCTAGTGATCACAGAAGCCTCAAGTTGTTCCTGACATGGGGGAAAAAGTAGCAAACCTAGAAAAATTCCTTTAAGATCCACATGGAAAGGGTGGCAGATCATGAATTACACACCCCAGAAGTACATATTGCATTACGGTTAATAGTGCACACTTTTGTTTTACCCAGAGAGATAGACACAATGGATTCAGGCCTGTGACATCTTTCTTGCAGGCTCATTCTCCCTTTTAGCAGTTAAGAATTTCGAAGTTGTGTCTAATAAATATATCTTATTTTGCTTCCATAACTCTGAAATGCTATAATTTTTGAAGAATTGGGAACCCTAAAATACCAAGCTTTCATTAACCTTGGGTTTGAAATATATTTGATGTACCTGAAAAATATCTTCTGCCCTCTGTATTTGTGGGTTTGACTTGTACAAATTTGATTATCAGCAGATTTGTTCTAAATGTTCTCTAAGAATCTCTTAAGTCCTGTTGTCAACCTCTGCTAGAGGTTGACCATAGAATCTCACTGGAGGACCTAGTATTTCCTAGAGAGGTGTTCTCTCAAGTAAAAAAATAGTGTCCTTTGCAGTTTTACCATTTTCATGGGTCCTGCGCCCCTAATCCCATCAAATACAATTAAATTGGGAATTTAATTGTATTTAGTATTACTTTGGGGGCCATTAGTTTGGATTCGAGAGAGCTTAGGTATGTTCTTGTTTATCTTTTTGTCTAAGTATTTCCTTCTGGAGCAGAGACTGAATAGCCTGGTTTAGATCATCATGTCATACATTATAAGCTATGTTCAGCATCAAGACAAGTGCTCT